AGCACCAGCTGCGGGTGCGGTTTTTGGCGCGTCCCACTGGCCTGTTGAGCACTCCTCAGATGTGATGGTGTCGTTGGGATTCAGGGAGCTATGTTGGACCAGGCCCCACCAGACAGTGACCACGGCCTTTTTTTGGTGCAAGTTTGGCTTTGGACCTGCTTCATGGTCCAACCACTGAACTGGTTGTCACGGAAAATGCACTTTTGTCACATGTCACAATTTGATCAAAGAATGGTTCATTGTTGTGTAGAGTAAGAGATGATACTTCAGAACAGCTTTTTTGATTTTGGGTCAGCTCCTGAGGCACTTACTTTGGAGCTTTTTCACCTTCCCCATTTCCTTCAAATGCTGATGACCTTAGAGTGTAGTTTAAGAGGGCCAGCCTTGACTTGCCCTCAGCTCGCCGTCCTCCACGTCCAGGGCCGGCCACTGCGCTCCTCTTCAGGGCTGCTGCCTCCTTTGCAAGACTTCCTGCACACCACTGCACGGTATGTCCATCGGCAGTCCCGGCCCGGGCGTGGCTGTTGTTGGGATTAGTCTCTGCTGCCTTACACACCCATTTTGAACTCAAATAAGAGAATCACTCAGATTTGTTTTTTGTCTAACATCATTTCCGTAGTCTAAAATACAAATAAAAAATAAAATACAAATAAAATAAACAGCAAGTAATAAGTCATTAGCAAAAAAACGAAAGCGAGAAGTGCATGTTAAAATGATGTGTGTGTAACATAACCATATTTAAGAATATACCCAATATCAACAGATTTCTTTTTTTAATTAGAAATTTTATTTTTTTCCTTAAGAATTATTTATTTTTATTTTATTTATTTTAATTTCTTTTTTTTTTTTTGGAGAGATTTTCACTGTAGGGCGCTTGCGCTCGCCAGACAGACAGAGAGAGACATAGAGACAGAAAGCGAGAAATCACCCCCCAGGGGGGATGGTCATGCCGCAGTCCCTTCTCCTCCATTCTCCTCTCAAGATCTTGGGCACGCACGTACACGCGCCCGGCGTGAGTTTTAAGCCACCGGGTCCGGGACGCGAACCTCAGTCGACTACGTGGGAGTCCAGCAACATAGCCATTACACTAACTGCTGGTTCCCTATTTATTTTAATTTCTGACCAGAGAAAGGTGGGGGCAGGGGAGGAGTGAAAGCAAGTTGTCAGGTTCAGGACTCGAGCTGTGGTCACTTAATTGGGAGTCTAGCGCCTTTAACCCCTGTGCCACCCACCAACCCCTCAAACAGCAAAGTGCAGCAATGCAGAATCAGTTACTTTTGCACCAACCTAATACATTGTCTTGGGTATGGTACGGTGTATGGGAGGGTGTGCGAGGTTATATGCAGATACTGTGCCGTTATGCACCCTCACATTTCAGTATCCGCTCAGGGCGGCCTGGAGCCACACGAGCAGATAAAACTGAGAGGAGGCTGTATATATATCTTACTATACTAAAGTGAGGAGAGTTCTCTAGCGAACTCTGGAGGTTCTGAGAGTGGGGAGACCTTTCTCAAAAGCTGAGAGGGTCTGGGAGAGCATTTGATGGGTTCTTGGACAATCGTTACTCTCATTTTACGGATAAGAAGCTAGTACCCAAAACTAATAGAGCATGGCAGTACTGTATTTGAGATTATGGGCCTTGGGAAAGTCCTGATGCACAGTCCTTTCACGCAGGAAAACACAAAAACACGTCCTGGCTTTTCTTTCCTTTCCTTTTCTTTTTTTTTTTTGGAGAGGTTTTTGCTATAGGGCGCGTGCGCTCGCCAGACAGACAGAGAGACAGAGAGACAGAAAGCGAGAAATCACCCCCAGGGGGGATGGGCACACACAGGCGCCCAGTGTGAGTTCTAAGCCACTGGGTCCGGGATTCATACCGTGGTCGACTACATGGGAGTCCAGTGACATAGCCATCATGCTAACTGCTGGTCCCGCGTCCTGACTTTTCTGATGACCCAGGAGAATGGGGTCACACCATGACTGGCCATGTGGGATCCAGCTCCCTTAACCACTAGGCTGCAGGGCCAACCCCAAGTGAATGGGATATTTTTCTGAGGAGAAAAAGTCTAATTTCATTAGGTTCTTAAAAACCTCAAACTAGAACAAGTGAAAAAAAAATTGCATTTCATGAGTGTGAACTCAGACATTTGTCAAATAAGTTGTGGTTTGTTTAAACATAAATTTATATAGAGGTCATAATGAGAAAATTCCAGGGTAATGAAAATTAGTTTTTAAATTAAATGCGTAATAAGTAAATTGTAGTCAAAACAAAGCCAATTTTACATAGAATTGCATAGTTATGACAATTTAGTAGATGGGAAATAATTATCTCTGAAAAAGTAATTTAGAGGAACTTTATAAAATTTTAATGCCCTTTAATAACAACTAATTAAATTATATTTACTTCATTTTGGG